TTTAGATAGTTGATATAGTTGATATATTTGATATATTTGATATAATTTTTTGAGACTAGCATGTATATAAGCGAGGGAAAAAAAAGTCTAAATTGTTTAACAAATTGTTCTAACAAATAAAATTAACATTTAATTGCTTAACTATTTGTTCAAAAACAACTATTATGCAAATGTTTGACATTTGAAAGTGAAACTGCGACTATAAAGAAATTTGGAAGAGTTTCAAGTAGTTAATAGTGTGAATGCCCATTGCTACAACAGGAACTTTGGTATAGTTTGAGTAGACGAATATGCATGCTAATGAATGGAATTTAAGTTTATTTTGTAAAAAAAAAGGATACTCAGATCAAATTATTACACCTCAGCCTTAAACAAAACTAAGTATTAGAGAGAACTTGAAAAACCCCTCACAAAATTCGATCAAGATGAAGTTCGCTACCCTCCTCCTCTCCCTGATTTTTTTCGTGAACGATTTCTTTTATTATTTCTTTCCTTAAAAATATACAGGATGGCCCGTGTAAGAACCTGTGGACTTTCTAGAAGATGAATACGACGAACGATCAAGAGCAGCCACTCCCACTCGTGAAGACAATATGTACTCATTTTTGGAAGAGATTTTTAGAACTTGTCGCGATGCTATGGCAGAAGCAATAAGAAGGACACCCGAACATCATGAACTGGATGCCAATAAGGATATACTATGGGACAGAACAAGAAGACCCCATAGAATGGATAAAGGCCTTCAAAAAAGCAGCAATGGCAAACAATTGGACAGGACAAAGAAGAACACAAATTGTCTCTAGATATCTCGCCGGGATAACAGTCAGTTGGTATGACAATAATTGGTACACCATAGATCACTGGAATGATGACGAACACAGGGATTGAAGTTTCGTTCCAAGGTTCGTGAAATATTTCGCCACCCCGGAATGAAGACACAAATGGCAGATAGAGCTCAATATGATAATACAGAAAAATGAAGAGAAAGCAAATACTTATGTGTATCAGTTCAAGCAGTTGTTAAGATGTGTCAACTCGGAACATCGCCTGTCAACTACATACGTCATATGATTGTTCACTGGTGAATTGAAAGGAGAGATTGCAAGGTTAATGCCACTGGTAGAGTCTATCACACTAGATGATATGATTACAAGTATGCGAAAACTGGAAGCTAGAGAGTAACCCAACTAATGATGCCATCAGCAGCTTAACGAGACAAGTGCAAGAAATGTTATCAAAGCTGATTATGATGATAAGAGAGAAGAAACCAGAGTTACCAATCTACCAGATGCTTCAATTGTGGAAAACAAGGACATAGAGTCCATGAATGCCCTGAGCCAAGGAGAATGCCACTACAAGTTGCCAACCCTCATGACATGAACCTTTGTGAAATAGAAAACAGTGAGGATGAAGTTTACATTGCTACTAGATTACAACACCAGCCATATACTGTTAATTGTCCTAAAAAGGATGAATTGAGTAAGGAACCTACTGAGAGAATTGTAAACCAGCCACGACAAACAGAACAAGTACAACCGGCACAACAAGAAGAGCACACCCAATTAACACAACCAGCAGAAATAGAGATTATGGCTGAACCTGCAAAAGAGAAAGCTAAGAATGCCATGCCACGAGTTAAGCACTAGAGAGGACCATCAGTAGTAGACTAAGCACCCTCGTATAACGTTGCAGAAGACTTGTTAAGTCAGAGAGCTAATGCCATGTATGCCCAACTATTGCAAATTCTGAAGCAATGACAGCACCTGGTACAAGTATTGAAATGACCTATCATTACCCCCACAGAAGTTGACTATGTGGAAGACCAGCCCCAACAAACCTCAGCAGCTAGATATAATGTAAAGATAAGAAACAAACCAGTCATAGCAGTATTGGACTCTGGAGCTGCAGTGAGCATTATATCAAAGAAATTGCTTATCAAGCTTGGACTACAGATTTTGGAACCATCTAATATTATTGTCGTTACCACAAACGGAATATAGGAAAGAGCTCTAGGAAAGTTAAAAGACGTGGTACTACAAATAGGAAGAATCACTGTACCTATGGACTTTCAGATTATAGAATCTACAGAAGAAATGATGTTATTAGGAATGAGTTGGATTAAGAGGTTACGCACGTACTTATATTTTGATGAACAAAAATTGATCATTACCTATGAAGGAGAAAGCATAGAGCTATTTATCTACCAAGAAAAAGAAGCTAAAATAGAGGAATCAGAAGAGAAGGAGGAAGAGGATTACGAGGAAGATGACTATTTCGACACATACTAGGAAGAAAAGTTAGATGAAGTAGAAGGTTACTTGACCAATGATCAAGAGGACTTATATACCAATCCATGAATCGACGAGTATAGCCCAGCAGCATATTTGACAATGATCAAAAAAGTTTTGATACCTGAAGAAACTGAACAATCCATACAACCTTGGAAGGAGTAATAGAAGAATTAGTAAATGCCAAGGACATCGATGATGACCAACGAAAGCAGGCTATTCACTTACTAGAAGAAAATAAGGAAGCTTTTGCCGATAGATTGAATCAACTGGGACAGACTGACAAAGTATAGCATAAAATTGACACTGGAGAAGTGAAGCTGATTAAACAACATGCATATAGAGTATCCCCTAGTAAGCAAGAGATTTTGGAAGAGGAAATCCAGAAAATAAAAGAAAAGAAACTAATTAGCGAAATTAAGAGTCCCTGGACATCTTCGATAGTGATAGTCCCAAAGAAAAGAGGAAAATTACAATTATGCATAGACTATCGAAAGTTGAATGCAGTCATGAAGAAAGATTCATACCCTCTACCTAGGATTGATGACTTGTTGGAAGCTTTTGGGAAAGCAAATTGGTTTTCTAGTCTAGACCTAGCTAGCGGATATTGGCAGATCAGGATGAGAGAGAAAGATAGGGAGAAAACCACGTTTATCATGAAATAAGGAACCTACGCATTTAACGTAATGCCCTTTGGATTGTGTAATATGCCTGCAACGTTTCAGAGAACTATGGACCAGATCTTTTACGAATACTTGGAAAAATTCGTAGTAGTATACCTCGATGACATCATTGTATATTCGACGACTTTCGAGGAGCATGTGGAACACCTACGGAGAGTAATCACAAGGATCAACGAAACCGGACTAAAATTCAACAGAGAGAAGTGCCAGTTATTCAGGATAGAAATCCGATTCTTAGGACACATAGTAGGATGCAATAGAATCCAGCCGGATGAAGAAAAAATAATCAAAGTAAAAGAATTTCCGACGTCAACAAACCTAAGACAGCTATGAGGATTCATCGGACTTGCATCATATTACTGATGTTTTATCAAGAACTTTGCAACAATCATGAAGCCGATGTATAAGCTATTAGAAAAGGAAGTAAAATACAAATAAACGCTAGCACAGGAATAAGCATTCGAGAAACTTAAGACTTACCTGACCTCAGCACCTATTTTGCAGTATCTGGACTTTGAGCAAACATTTTATCTTTACACAGATGCTTCAGGAATAGGATTAGGAGCTGTACTAGCTTAGAGAATAGAAGATAAGAAGGAATATGTTGTTGCGTATGCGAGTAAGAGCAGAGTGAAACTATGCAGCTACAGAATTGGAGTGTTACACAATAATCTGGACCATGGAGCATTTTCACCACTATTTCAGATTTAAGCTATTTGTGATAATAACAGATCATACAGCATTAAAATGGTTGCATAATACTGCACTAAAAGGATGGAGAGCACAATAGATTTTATGATTACAGCCGTACCAGTATATCATTCAGTACAGAGCCAGACGAAAACACCATAATGTTGATGCACTATCTAGAATTCCGAATCATAAGGAAACAAAGAAAAAAGAAAGAATAGAAGACAAAAACTTAATTAATTATTGTCAGATGAATTACCTAGGATATGAAATGCGATCCACCCAAGAGTTGCGATATTGACTAGCCACTATAATCAAGAAAAGAAGGAAATCTGATGAGAAACAAAATCCAGCCCAGGTAGTCAGTATCTTGGCACTAATAAGAATCAAGATGGAACAACAATGATACGACGCAATCAAGACTTACCTATTGTACCAAAGATACCTGCCAAATTTTGATAAGCAACAACAATGACAATTAAGAACACAAAGCAAATTCTTTTGTGTGCAAGACGACCAATTATTCAAGAAAAATAGATCAAAGAAGCAAAACAACCTAATTAGAATTCTAACGGAAGCAGAAGTGGATTCAGTACTAGCATCAATACATGATCACCCATTGGAAGGCCATTTTTCGAAAGATGTGATGTTTAATAAGATTCGGGAGTACTATTATTGGCCGCAGATATACAATGACATACAAGAATATGTCAGAACCTGCAAGTGATGTCAGAAAGCCAGAGTGAAGAAGAAGAAGCTACTATTATATCCCATCCCTGCGATATTACCTTTTTACAAGATTGGAATCAATATAGTTGGATCTTTACTGATGACGTCTAGATTGAACAAGTATATTGTAGTAGCAACTAACTATATGATCAAATGGCCGGAAGCACGTGCCTTACGAAGGGACACAGCTGAAGAAGTTGCCAAATTTATATATAAAGACATTATATGCCGACACAGATGTCCAATGCATATACTCACAGATCGAGACATGTATTTTAGGAATAGAACGATTGACAAATTAATGATAATACTACAAGTGGAGCATCAGTATTCTACCCCATATTATTCGCAAACCAATAAATTAGTGAAGAGATTTAACAAGACCTTATGTAACTTGATTGCCTGATTAGTTACCAAGATAACGGAATAGAATACAATGATTTAGCCGATATTATTTGCTTATCGCATTGCAAGACAAGCTATGACCCAGCAAACACTTTTTATGTTAACTTACAGAAGAGAAGCATGATTACCTGCCCACCCGAGTGAATCTGAAGATTTACTTAATGGAACGTTTTTGTAGAGAATATATAAGTTGACTATGAAAGTACCGAACACGAGAAAGCAAGCTCTTTTACAAATCCAGAACAATTAACAAAAACAGAAGGCAAATAATGATCAGAAGTTAAAAGGCACTACTACTTTTGGAATTGGAGATAAAGTATTAGCTTATTATATGCAGCAAATGAATGCTCTGATTCACAAGTTCGCATCTAAATGGAAAGGACCATATTATATACACGCTATACTTACAAATAGAGCTTACAAATTGAGGGAATTTGATAGGAAAGTTTTATCTATGCCGATTAATGGGATCCACAAGAAAAAATATTTGGAGAGGAAGCGTTGAAAATTGATCTTTTATAAGAGGACAATTCGGAGAATATTTTTATTTTTATTTTTTTTATTTTGTTATTTTTTATTTCTTTATTATGGGAACAACAGAAGATCTTGTCAGATTTGATATTTTGTTTACTTAGCCATTATCTGTAATGCCTGAAATATGTTTGTATTACGAGAGGCAAGGATTTCAAGATCAAGTTATGTTAGCCTATAATCGACTCAGGAGAGCTAGAAGTATTGGAAATCGAATTAGCAGCCTTACTCATGCATATTACTTAGGAGCAAGAATACAGATGCTTATCTCAGCAGAAAGACTTGTCGTATGAAGCATTTTGACCACGTATTACCTTAAAGCTGCGATCTGGACCTACTACTTTTTTGAATCACATGGAGTCGTGCAGATTTATTGAACGACATATATCACTCTTTCAATAATTGTCAAGCTTACGAAACATGAATTTAATCGACTAATTATGGAAGAACCTGTGGAATGTATTTTTTCTAGTAAAGGAGAATTGTGAAAGGAAAATTGCATGGTCATATGAGTGTATGCAATGACAATCCCAAAAATAACAAATCTGAGAGAAATGAGATATCTGTAATTTATTTCTTTTTTTTGATTTCTTTATTTTATTTCAGATAGTTAAGAAATTAAATATATTAGCGATAATTTAGATAGTTGATATAGTTGATATATTTGATATATTTGATATAATTTTTTGAGACTAGCATGTATATAAGCGAGGGGAAAAAAGTCTAAATTGTTTAACAAATTGTTTAACAAATAAAATTAACATCTAATTGCTTGACTATTTGTTCAAAAACAACTATTATGCAAATGTTTGACATTTAAAGGTGAAACTGCAACCATAAAGGAATTTGGAAGAGTTTCAAGTAGTTGATAGTGTGAATGCCCATTGCCATAACAGGAACTTTGATATAGTTTAAGTAGATAAATGTGCATACTAATGAATGGAATTTAAGTTTATTTTGTAAAAAGAGAAGAATACTCTGACCAAATTATTATGCCTCAGCCTTAAACAAAACTGAGTATTAGAGAGGACTTGAAAAACCCTCACAGAAGGTAAACACCATTTTTTTATTTATTTGTATATAACAGGATATACATTATAAAAAGAAACAACATCTTTCACATGCAATTTATAGTAAGTTAAATGCTAGCTTGCCTATAGTAATCACTTAATTTCTATTAGAAAAGACATTTTAAACTAGTGTACTAAATAAGCAATACTGAGCAGCTGTAAATACCTACTCAGAGTTTTGTGAAATAATATTACAGTAGTTAGAAATAAGATTATATGTACATTTTGAGAGATTAAAATTGCTTTGGATGAATGTTTCCACAACAAGAGTTGGGATATCAATTATGATACTGTCAGAAGCTGAGGTTGAGGTATTGTCATTGGAGGGTAAACTTTTACTGGAGTTGTCATTATTAATATTATTACTGGAAAGGGTATTGATAGAATTGATATTTCTGCTATTATCGCTTTTTCTTTTTTTGAGATTTTTGTCTTATTTGATACCAGTAGTGGGTGTAGTATTCGCTGTACTACATCAGGGTTTTCAAATGAGATTGTAGGAAGATATGAGAGCTTCAGTAAATGCTTGAATCCACTTATGTATATCAGATATAGAGAAGATGCCATTTGTAATTCCATATGCAAGTCCTACTATCTAATATACATTCAATAATGGGTTGTTGCTACTGTCAGGATGAAGAATGAGGTTGATGGAGTCTATTATTTGTTTGATTTCTTTTTTTGTTAAGAGGTAGCTAAAGACATGGAAGATATTTTCAATCTGGAGACTGCACCTTGGACAATATGGGTCTTTATAGAGTTTAGGATATAACTGGTGAAGAAATTCACATGTTGGAAGTGTACCTGAAAGCAATTTGATTCTGAATACAATGAGATCACTATAAGTATTGTTATGAAGTCCTTTTAAAAATTTGCTGGAAGAGTTGATTAT